CAGACACCCTGTGAAGGGCCCCGGTTACTCAGTGTGAACTCATGCAAGACTTTCTTCCTGGGGACTGGACCTTTGGAACCATAGCTCAGGGGATCCTTTTTACAATAATTGCTCCCTTAGTCATGTTTTAGGGAGCCAGCAGCCTGGGCTCAAGTCCCACTTGGTCACTAAGATAGTTTTGTGACCCTAGACAAGTCACAGCATTCCTCTCGGCCTCCATCTCTTCAGCCATTCAAGAAATATTCATGTCGCAGCCACTGTTCTGAGTACTGGGAACACAGAGGTGAGCATGGTTGACAAGAGGTCTTAGAATTTACCATCTGGTTAGGGGAGATACTGAATAAATGCGTTTTTAAATATCAGGAGGAAAAGAACCTTTGGAGAACAGTAAGTCTCTGGCCTTATTCTCCTAAGGTTCCTATTTTCATGCCTTGAACTGTCTAGTTGGGGGACATTCGAAGATACTCTAACGAAATAAGTGTGGTATCTGCTGCCTCCAGTAAATCTCTAAACTTAATGATAGGCGTTTTTGGATAAATCGTTACTAGAACTGAAGGAAATGCTTATTTACGTGTGGCATTTGCATTCAGATTTGACTGTGTTCTTTTGTTTCTCCACTTTTTACTTTGAAAAATTTCAAACACAAATTTAAAATAAGGGTGTAATGAAAACTGTGTATGTGCTCCTGACATTTTCCCATATTAAGGTGCTGTCTCTCTCGGAACACACAGTCACATGCACACACACCTTCTTTTTCTTCGAAGTTGTAGATATTATGTTTCTCCCCTCAATACTTTAGCATGCCTCACTCACATAACTATAATATCACCCAATAGCAAATCCACATTCAAAGTTCCCTAGTTGTCTTTTTTTTTTTTTTTTTTTAAGAAGAGTCTCTTCCTGTTGCCAAGGCTAGAGTGCCGTCCTAGCTCACAGCAACCTCAAACTCCTGGGCTCAGGAGTTCCTCCTGTCTCAACCTCAAAAGTAGCTGGGACTACAGGCATGCACCACCATGCCTGACTAATTTTTTGTTTCTATTTTTAGTTGCCCAGTTAATTCTTTCTATTTTTAGTAGAGACAGGGTCTCGCTCTTGCTCAGGCTGGTCTTGAACTCCAGAGCTCAAGTGATCCTCCCAGCTTGGCCTCCCAGAGTGCTAGGATTACAAGCATGAGCTGCTACACCAAGCTCCCAGTTGTCTTTTATAGCTGTTTTTTCCTAAACCAAAGTCCAATCAAGGATCACACTTTGCCTTTGGTTATGTCTCTGGTTACCTGGAATGGAGCTTCTCAAACTTGAAGGTGCACGCGAATCACCTGGGGATGTTGTGAAGATGCAGATTGTGATTCCAGGGGTTCGAGTGGGGCCCAAGAGTCTTGATTCTAACAAACTTCCAGGTGATGGCAGTGATGCTTCTGGTGCAGGACCACACCTCGAACAGCAAGGATAAAACAGACAGTCTTTGTCCTATTTTTCCCCCCTCATGACACTGATTCCTTAGAGAGTCTGGGACCATTTCTTGTAGAATGACTCACATTCTGATTATTCCACCACGTCCTTGACTTTTTCTCTCTCCTCTGTATTCACCGCGCACTGGAAGTTAGGCATAGAGACTTGCTTAGTTTTCGTTGAGGCATTTTTGGCAAGTGTACTTCACAGTGCATCCCAGCAGGAGGCGCTGGATGCTGGTCATCCTACCAAGGCTGTGCTAGGGCTGTACCACCTGGTTAAGGTGATGGCCAGATCTACTGTCATTTTTTAAATAAAATTTTTTTTTAAAAATGCCTGCAAACAGAAATCAATAACCTAACTGCGTATCAAATAGATAACATTAACTACACAGAGAAAAAAATGATTTCAAGTTCTCTGACAGGGTGAAGCCGACTTCCTCTGGGCCAGCTTCCCTGAGGCATGGTCCGGCTGCTCTGAAGAGGAGGGTGTCTCTCACCTGCCCCTGTTACCTTTGCCCACCTGGATCCCAAAGGCGAGCTGCCTTACAGTGACAACGGTGTCTACACCAACCAGCACAATAAGGCACCTTCCATTTGTGAATTCTAACTGTGCACCAAGCAGCATGCCAAACCCTCTAAGGCAAGGGCAATGGACTGAAGGTTTATGTCCCTCAAAATTCATATGTTGAAACCCTAACCCCTAATGCGATGGTGTTAGGAGGTGGGGTCTTTGGAAGGTAATTAGGTCATGAGGGTGGAACCCTCATGAATGAGATTAGTGCCGTTATAAATGAAAGGGCCCCCAGAGAGCTCTCTAACCCTTCTCCCATTACACGTGGACACAGTAGGGCAGCAGTCTGCAGCCCACACGAGGGCCTTCACCAGAACCCAACCAGGCTGGCACCTGATCTTGAACTTTCAGCCACCACAACTGTGAAAAATAAATTTCTGTTGTTTATAAGTGTAAAAAGAAACCAAAGTCTCAGGGCCAAGCCCCGCCGCCCCAACTCTTCATGCAAAAGAGAAGGTAAAGGCCTCAGGCACCTGTGAAGAATGGGCCCCACAGATCAGGCATGAAGAAAGCTCCTTGCCCCCCTCCCATAAACAAGGACATACAAATTATAACCATGTCTAGCACCTACAGCTAAAGCCTACTCAATGCTACACTAATGATGAAATACACATTTACTTTACCGGTAACAACTTGAGACAGGACAGAATCAGACACTCTTCCACCTACCCAGGGACGTCTGCAAAACCGATGCTTCCTTCACTCCCCTTTTCTCTTCTAATTCCCCTTATTTTATGTAAAATGTAGATTTCTGGGGACTCACAGGAATGTCACCACTTTGCTGGATCAGCCCCTCCCCCCCACACCTTTTCTCCTTCTCTGTTGCCTTTGAAATGCTTACATTTCCAACTTCCCCTTCAGAAAAACAGCCATAGCTTGTCTGCCGTTCATGTTTTTCCTGGGCATGTCCTCGACTTCGGCTTAATAAACCTCCATCGATTGAGATTTTGCCTCGGCCATTTACTTGGATCCACACAAGCTGAGGCTTGCGACACCACGCCTGGCTAATTTTTCTACTCTTTGTAGAGACCAGGTCTTGCTGTATTGCTCAGGCTGGTCTCAAACTCCTGGCCTCAATTGATCCTCCCACCTGAGCCTCCCAGAGTGCTAGAATTACAGGTGTGAGCCACCATGCCGGCTTCAATGAGCTTTTAAAATTGTTATTCTGACTAAAGAACTTCTGTAGAGGGCCCAGGGAGAGGCTCCCAGGACACAATCCGATGCATCTGGAACACAGCTCAGGTGCAAGAGAGACAACAGATTCATTTCATTTACATTTTAAAGCTATTTAGTGCATTAAGGGCAAGACTCTTAAAGGATGTGTTTTGGGGAGGGAGGGCCAAATGTGCGTAGCATATAGTGATGCTATACACCTATGCTCATTTTGTAGGTGAAGAAAATGAGGCTTAGAAAGATAAAACTGTCCGCAGCCACCCAGCCGGCAAGTACCAGGAGAGCAAGCTCAATTCAGGTCTGTCTGTGGCCTGTTATCTCAATTCAGAATTATTATCGATTGCATCCCCCAACGAGAAAGCCTGCTGTGCCCTCCCCATACCAATGCCTGGATGCTTTTGCTCAGCACCTGTGAACAGTCAGGGCTGTGTTTCTAAGTGCAGTGATCCAAAGGTGGCCAGATCTTTGCAATGTATTGACTGAGGGCCACTAACTCACATGGCAGCCTTGACTCTCTCTTTCCTCTCGAGTGGCTCTGCAGCTGGTGGCAGTACCCAGGCCTTTACAAAGGCCTGACCCCCTCTCTGCCCCCAGGCCCAACTCCTCTCTCTGGGGCTTCTAAAGAGGAGGCAAAGATTTCTTCTCCACCCCGACCCTCCCCAGCAGGGCGGAGTGAAATGCTAGCAAAGAATTCCCTGGGCTCAGTTTTTAGACTTAAGAAATAGAGAAGTTTATAAATGTAGCTTCAGTTTCCTTCCACTGCAATGCCGAAGTGTGTTTGTTATTCTGATGCGTGGAACTCAGGGCATCTTTGTCCTGTGAAACCAAATGATGTGTAGCAGTCAGGGTCCCACTGCAGCCCACGTAAATGACAAAGCCACAGTGCAGCTAAAACGACACCCGTTTACAATGAAAAGTTGGGGACTAATACCTTTCCCATACTAATTTAAAAAAAAAGAATAAAAATAAAATATAAGTAAGAAAGTCTGTATTTATTAAAATATGTAGATTTGAAGAAAAGAATGTTTAGAGAAAACTAAAGACATAGATGGAACATTTTGGAGACTCCAAAAGAGACTTCTGGGTGTTTCAGCGGACCTCAGAGGCTGAAGGCACCGGTTCTTGTAATGTCTCATCAACTTCAAGGCAAAGAAAGGCCTTCTCTTCCTCTGAAACACGGTTGTCACCAGCTCTTGCTCTTATCAATGACACTAAAGGCTTTTCTTGTATTGTGTGACTCACAGATGGAATGAAAAGACGCAAGAGAGATTTTTCTCAAGGGATCTGAGAAAAAAAAATAGAAGGGAAAAGAGTGGAAGGGGATGAAGGGGAGAGCAGAGTTGCTCGACGGAAGCTCCCCGAGCTGTCAGTGTGCCCGTGGGTACAATGCCCCCGGGAGGCAGAGGTACGATGGCACCTGTGACCCGTCAGTCCCAGACAGCTGTACTAGCACGCAGAGAAAAGCCAAAAGCGTGTTTCGTGGGTAAAGGAGAAAAGAAGGGAAATACAGTCAGCTGTTTGGAAAACAGTTGTCTTTAACCACTTGGGGACCGCGCTCACGGCCTCGAACCCTTGCCCACAGCCGCCGGCACTCACAGTCCGCACGGTAGCGTGTGCTGTGCATTGACGACGAGTCCGTTTGCTCTTGTGTGATGGGGAACGCTTTAAAGCACTGAAAGCTTGTTTTACTTTACAGGCAGCTTTACTTGTAGTGTAAATCAGAATCGGTAACGTATACATATATGTTTTCATTACGTTATTTTTAAATGTTCACAAAATGAAAAATTAGGAAAGCCATATCCCAGCTGTCGGCTACAGTCGCTGTGCGCGTTCGTCTGTGGCTGTCGACTGTAGTCGACGCTCGTACCAAAGTGGTTAAGAAAAAGGAAGCGAGCCCTAGTTGTAATGTTTTCCGGCTGCTGTGGTGTAAGCTCACCCACCACGTGCAATTTCAGGCTATAAATGTTTAATACTTAAACTAACTGGCTTGCAAAATTCTCAAATATTTAACAGCTTCCAGGAACTACCCGGCAGCTCCAACACAGCACTGGACAGTGCAACCGCGCGCTCAAACGCTCAGATGACGCCAGCCGGACCCCTGCCACCGAGCACGCCCTGTCCTGGGCTGTGAGGGTGACGTTTTAGTTACTTTGATGGTTACTTATTCGAAACTGGCAAAATATCCCTGAAGTTCAGTTAAAAATTGTATCTCAAAAGCATACCCTTTCTCTAGAAGCTGCCAGAAATCAGGGGGCAGGAGGCCATTTGGTTAGTCCGAATTTAAATTCAAGAGTCCTCACATAGCTGAACTCTTGGGGCTACATTACATTTTCTGATGACTCCTTCCTCGATATGAGTTTTTAAAAAATAAAAGAAAAAAGTCAGCAGTGATTTTCTAGAATGATTTTTAAGACCGGGCATGTTCTTTGTGAAGCATTAATGCATTTCCAAAGTGGGTAAGAAAGAAACAGGACTTATCCGATTTGACAGGTATGGTGGACATCCTGTGAAGTGGGGGGCGGGGGCTGGGGGGCCCCACACCTAGAGAGAGCCGCCAGGAGACCCGAGAGGGGCAGGCAGAGCCGCTGGGAGGAGCCTGGATACCGTCCTCACACAGCTCCCTGAAGGCTCCTACACTGTCACCATGATCTGGTCCAGAGGTTTCCGTTTGAGGTCGGGCACCGTGGCATCTTTGCTGGGGTACCCCACGGGGAGCAGCATCAGCAGTTTTTCATGTGCAGGGCGGCCCAGGAGCACTCTCAGACGAGGGCCACAGTTGAGAGGCGTGGTAGTGACAGTCACCAGTCCCGCATTCTAAAACAGGAGAGGAAGGGACACGTTGTGAAGCCAGCTGGCAACATCCCAGCTCTGCCTCCAGCCTGGGGACCGTCATCCTTAGCACACCTGATCAGCTCATCATTTCCCCAAGGTTGGGCAGCACAGAGGCTGCCGGCCCAGGTGATGGGTACCGTGAACCTCACCTGTGCCCCAACCTCCCCACTCACTGACTTCTTTTAACCAAGCAGTGGGAATCTTCTGGAAGCAGAAAAATGCTAGTCTTATTTTTCATTGATGCTAAAGAAATAGGAATGGTTATTTTATGGCAAGAAATTGGGGGAATCCAGCTATACCAAAGCAATGGCAAAAACAACAGGCAGTTCCTTTTAGCGAAGGGGTCAACCTGTATCCTGGTACGAGACCAAGATGATAAGAGCAGCCCACCAAAGCAGGGTTCCAGCCCAAATTCTATTATAATTTTCTTACTAAATATTCTTTCCTGAATTCTGGTTATCTGCCTAGAATCTATGGGTTATAATCAATATCTGTAATATTGGCATTTGAACCTATATATGTGTGTGTGTGTGTGTCTGTGTGTGTGTGTGTATACAGTCATGTGTCAGTTAACAATGGGAATAGGTTCTACGAAATACATCATTAGGTGATTTCTTCATTGTGTGAACACAATAGAGTGTACAAACCCAGAGGGTACAGCCTACTACACACCTATGTGGTTTAGCCTGTTGCTCCTGGGCTACACACCTATACACATGTCATTGTATTGAATACTGTAGGCAATTACAAATGCAATGATAAGTATTTGTGTAGCTAAATATAGAAAGGGTACAGTAAAAATACTGCATAAAAGATTAAAATGGCCTAACTGTATAGGGCACTTATCATGAGTGGAGCTTGCAGGCCTAGACGTTGCTCTGGGTGAGTCAGTGAGTGAGTGGTGAGTGAATGTGAAGGCCTAGGACATTCCCGTACACTATAAACACTGTACACTTAGGCTACACTCAATTTATTTAAAAAATTTTCTTTATTATTCATTCTTTATCCCATTATTATTCTATTATTATTATACTTTATTCTATTAACATGATAAATTAACCTTAGCTTACTGTAACTTTTTACTTTAGAAACTTTTAATTTTTTTTAACTTTTTGACTCTTCTGTAATAACACTTAGCTTGAAACACAAACACATTGTACAGTTGTGCGAAAATATTTTTTCTTTAAATCCTCATTCTATAAGCTTTTTTATTTTTACATTTATTTAATCTTTTGCCTCTTACACTTTTTTTTTTGCTAAAAACAAAGACACAAATATGCACATTAGTCTAGGCCTACACAGGGTGAGGACCATAAATATCACTGTCTTCCACCTCCACATCTCGTCCCACTGGAAGGTCTTCAGAAGCAAAAACGCAAACAGAGCTATCATCTCCTGCATGATAACAATGCCTTCTTCTGGATAGCTCCCAAAGGACCTGCCTCCTGCCTGAAGCTGCTTTATAGTTAACTGTCTTCTAAAAAGTAGAAGGAGTACTTGCTAAATAATGATAAAAAGTATAGTAAATATCGAATGTTTATAGCAGCACAATTCATAATTGCAAGGCTGTGGAAACAGCCCAAGTGCCCATCAATCCAAGAATGGATTAATAAAATGTGGTATATGTACACCATGGAGTACTATTCAGCTCTAAGAAACAATGGTGATATAGCACACCTTATATTTTCCTGGTTAGAGCTGGAACCCATACTACTAAGTGAAGTATCCCAAGAATGGAAAAACAAGCACCAGATATATTCTCCAGCAAACTGGTATTAACTGAGTAGCACCTAAGTGGACACATAGGTGCTACAGTAATAGGGTATTGGGCAGGTGGGAGGGGGGAGGGGGGCGGGTATATACATACATAGTGAGTGAGATGTGCACCATCTGGGGGATGGTCATGATGGAGACTCAGACTTTTGGGGGGAGGGGGGGAAATGGGCATTTATTGAAACCTTAAAATCTGTACCCCCATAATATGCCAAAATAAAAAAAAATAAAAAATAAAAATAAAAAAGTATAGTAAATACATAAACCAGTAACATAGTAGTTTATAATGATTATCAAGTATTATATACTGTACATAATTGAATGTACATAATTTTACACGAACTGGCAGCACACTAGGTTTGTTTACACCATTACCACCACACACACGTGAGTAATGCCTTGTACTACAACATTAGGATGGCTACAAAGTCAGCAAGTAATAGGAATTTTTCAGGTCCATTATAATCTCATGGGACCACCATCATATATGTAGTCTATCATTGACTGAAATGTCATTATGTAGCACATGACTATATATCTATATCTATATCTATATATAGATATATATATATATATGAAACTGAGTGACTTAATATGGTCTCTTGCTGAAGGTCTCTCATACTGCATCATTCTATGCCTTGATTCCTAAAGATTTTATAATGCTAAGTGTCTGTTCTCAAGAACACATGCATGGAAAAGTCTATTGATTTCTTCTTTTTATCATCAGCTTAGATTGTCTCTCCTTTATTATGGCATTTCTCTTCCTTTATCGTATCTTCACATGGTATTTAAATTCGGAATGGATAAATCTTGAACTTTCCATTGAGAAAATATTTACATCTTAATTTGATGTCATTTTATATTTTGGTCCTTTGTTTAGACATAGCTTTTACCCCATACTGAATTTTATATATCTTTGGCAATAGACATTCCTGAATATACAAAATATATTAAGCAATTTCTCCTAGTAATATTAACCTGATTTCTATTAGTATTTTATCTTTCAATCTCTCTTGATTTGAGTGCTTTGGTCTTATTACAGGTCAGGAGGTTTTTTTTACCTGAAATCCTCAGACCCCCAAAGGACCAAGGATTGAATTCAGCAGGTTTGTGAACTTGGGTGGGGAAAAAATGCATCTTTATATCCATAAACATCTAACTGAAATTTAGCAGTGTTTTCCATTATGAAGGAAGGCGACAAACCACAGTAGTATTAGCAATATCTCTGACTTTGTCACCAATAAAATTCACAGATATTTTCATAGCAGTTCACAGTTGTTATAGGTATCTTAAAAATATCATTACATTCATCACTACTTAAAATAATAGACTTAGATCTTGGTCATTAGATATTGCTAGATCTTTCTAGATCTTCCTGCTGCTAGATCTTGGTAATTAATGTATTGATAAGGTCTTGCCTATTTTATTTTAAACAACTACAACCACCAGGAGTTCCTACAACTACAGAATCGACGTGGAAGCAGAGCCTGATGCCCAGTGAAAATGCCAGTGCCCCATGATGGGGGACCCAGTGGCCAGGGGGTGCCCCATCCACCTCTCTTCAAGCCTCCAAACAGTGACCATCTCAGTAAAAACAGTGCATGGCTTCCAGACACTTCCCCAGCTGCCCCTCTTCAGGTTTTCCAATGAAATCACCACCACTAAGCCTGAGAAGAAGTTCTGGAAGTCGCTTCTACCTGTCATATGTGCCTCACCAGTGACCAAGCTCCAGATGAGGGCTCCATGAAGATTTTTCTCTCCTCCCTCACAAATCATGAGCTGCCCACAGAATTGTGGGCACAGCCTTGTGGAACGCTAGAGGGCAGCAAACTCAATGGTAAAGAGAAACGGACTGAGCCTGCCAGCTTCACGGGGCAGAGAACACGTGGTGCACCGAGTTCACTCAGGGCTTAAACTGCTTCTTCAGTGACCCTAGAATAGACGGGGTGTCCTGAGGTCTCATGCTACACAGTGATTCCTTTATCTGATTGCAGACTCAGTAAGGAAATCAAACGCCAGCTCCTTCAGGACAATTTTTCATACAATCTGAAAGCATTTCTGTTGCGTAACGATGACTATATTTTTTGCAAGGTGTTATTCGGCACACATATTTTTCTTTGAGATAGTGAATAAGCTCATTTATTTGTTAATCAATTTTCCCTTGAAAGTATGATCCCTCCCTCTTATAATCTCGTTTGCTGTATTTATTCTATGTGTTTACTGTCTGTCTGACCCCCTAGCCAGCCCCCAGCCCCCACCAGAATGTACGGTTCATGAGACCAACTACCCCCAGTGCCTCTCAGTAACTGCCACGTAGGAGCTGCTCGAAAAATACTTGAGTGAATGCATTGAGTAGTTTGAAAGGTATATACTTCAATCCCGCTCTGTTTCATGTTAGCACCCTAGCTGACTTGTAGATGGAAATTTTTTTAAGCTCACTGTCATCCTCCTAATGCAATACCATGCAAATTTCTCAGTCTAGGAGCTCCAGGAAAGAGTTCTCCTTGTGGCTTTTTAATCATTCCTTCAGCTCAGATAGCAACAGCAAACACATAGAGGGAGTTAGTCTCCATGACTTTCAGGCTTGGCAATTTCTCATGCGTGGTCTGCCAAAACCCTTAGAACTTGTTGTAACAGATGAAGTCAACCTCAACCACAATGTTTCTAACCCTGAAATGATGTTACAAGTGCACTTTCAGGAAGAATTTCAGCTTGTTGAACCACTGTGCTCAGCGGTGTGGGTTTCCAGAGTCAGTTCTCACATTGGAGTTACCTTACGTAGGAATTCAGCTTTTAGATAAAACAATTTCCAAATGTTCCTGAATTTAAAACTTAGCTGAAATGTTCTAACAAGGTCGCCCTTTAACTCTCAAATATCACTTCTCCTTTTTGGGGCCTCGCCGGAGGGGCACCGTACCTGCAGGGCGGCCAACAGGATGCCACAAGCGATGGAAACACTGATCTCATTGTAGTAATGGACCTTTTTCTTGCCATTTGCAGCAAAACCATGTACTTGTTTGAAAATGAGAATCAAAACAGGGGCGGTGTCCAAGTATTCTTTAATCCAGTTGGTTCTGCGGACAGAAAAGAGATCCAGGAGGTTATTTGTTCTTATTTTGGGTTCTATTTTTACTATCTTAGCTTATTTATGATGAAAATAAAAACACGTTTCCTTGTCTTTTTTACTAAATTGAAAAAGTGCAGAATTTTTGTTTGTGTCTTGTTCATCTTTTTCTGTTGAAGGAGCTTAGGAAATTTCACCCCAAAATACGACTCCTTGGTATAAAGTATATTTTGAATGAGAGGCCCTCAGAGATCAACAGGCCTTTGGAAGGGGCTTTCCCTCTATCTGCAGAACCAGACAGACCCATCCAAAACACTGTTGACTTCCCTTCCCCTTTCCTGTCATTTCAATACATTGTAGGAAAGAAGATCAAAAACGCAACCAGACCTGGCCCGAACCATTTAAACATAACAACTGTCTCTCAGGTTAATTTACAAGCCAATCTGTTTTCCCATCCATTCATCCTCCCTAGCAGCCATTCATTGCCTCTAAACAGAATTACCTATGTGCCTCATCTCCCCTCTCCTCTAAAAGGAGGGCATAAAAATTTCTGGACCCCACTGGGATACTGAGTAATCACTCTGTGATTCTCTGCATGAGTGCAGTAAATAAACTTCTTTCTCTTATTAATCTGCCTTAATTGTGAGTTGACCTTTTGGTGAATTTGGGGGGAAAGGGGGAGTTTCCCCTCACCCCCAGACCATCCAAGATCATTCCATTCAATAAACATGTATTAATAAGTGCCTGGTACAGCAAGGGATATGTAATGCTGAAAGATACAAGGGTGGATCCTGTGACTCGGAGTGCACTAAGACAATATTCAGTAAAATGACACCTGGCACGTGCTGTCAAAGAAGTATAAACCAAGTGCATGGGGAGCCCCTCAAAACTGAAATGTTAATCCTGACTATGAAGATTGGAAGAAAATTCCCAGAAATGGCCTCAAGGCACTGAAGGCCAGGGCAGAAAAAGGGGATTGGGGAAGGCGCCCCAGGCAGAGCCAAGAGAAGAGCTGGAGCACAGGAGGTTAAACTGAAATCACAGGTGGGCAGATGGCAGTGCAGTGTGCCCAGTTATGGAGAAAAGGAGGGGAACTTTAGTGGGAGCTGGAGGCCATTCCTGTGTCATATAAATATGGAGTTGAAATTTTCATTTTCCAGCTTAAAATATCTCTTTCCTGATTCCATTACCCTGTCCCATACATTTTGGCAGAAGTTTCATTCTAGCATAGATACTCAAAAGAGAGATAGTCATACAATTCCATATATTGGAATTTTCCTTAGGATGTAGCATTTCATTAATTAGCAAGAGATGGTCACCATTCACTTCATTTCTGGCCTAGTTACGGCTTCGCTGTTGTTGAAGTACAATAAGCTCACTGTGTATTTTCCCATGGTTCCTCTTAAACTAGCAACATCTACAGGTTACACTTTCAAAGCTACTTTACCATACTTCAGCCAGCTTAGTCACGCTTGACTGCTACTGATTCTTTTCTCCTGATGAAGAGGAAGAAACATTCATGGTTTAGAAGATGCACTTGAGCCAGACAAGCTTGGCCATGTTGGGCGAGCCACTGAACCTAAACTCTGCAGAGGCACAGGCATAGCTAAAAATAATGATAATAACCAGCCACTGTCCCCTCGCTTGCTTTCCTATGATTGCTACTCAGGAGTCACATTGCTGATGGTCATAAAGATTTTTAACTTTCTCCACAAATAACATCAACTTTTCTAAATCTAAGGGTAGTTTTTGAGATATCTTCCAGGCCTGGTATTCAGTAGCTGACCAGTGACCGATACCTAGGAACATACTCAACTGGTCTTGTGAACCCCACCCAGGAACTGACTCAGCACAAGAAAACAATGGCTACACCCCTGTGATTCCACTCTGAACCCAGTCAATCAGGAGACCCAGCACATAGATGAGAGCAATTAATTCTGCCACTGCTGAGGAAAGTGTGGGAGGGACAATAGTATTTTGTAAGTGCTGTGCACACCTAGAATAATAGCATCTCTCCAAGTATAGTGACTCAATTTTTACCTATCCAGGTTTATCCCATGAATATGCAGTAAGATTTATATACTCACTATTACTACCCCCACACTTGCTCCTGAGCACAGAGATAAGTTACAACTCCATAAGACATCAATCTTGATGAGGTTTAGATGTCTTAGGAGAAAATTGTCCTCTGGTGCCAAAGAACTAAAAAAGGAATAGTGATAGTTCCTTCATATTAAGAGGCCAAGCCAGACACCCCTAATTTCACCAACTTTTGTACCTCAGTTTCTTCAGGTCTGTAACCCATCGGTGCCCCATTCTCTTCATATAGTTTATTTCTTCTTCCTCCTCTATGATCTTGCGAATCTCATGTTTCATGTCTGGGTCCTTCACAACCACGAAGGTCCAAGGCTCTGTGTGGGCCCCACTTGGGGCTGTTCCTGTCACCCATCAAGTCAAAATGAGAAATTAAAGCTGCAGGGAAGTGTGAGACTGTTAGTTAATAACGAATACAATTAATGCTTGCTCAAAATGAAGTGCTTGGCTGTGGGCTCTGGCGGGCACTGCAGACTCTGTTTTATTCAGTATCCTCTGGCTGTCTCCCGGACAACTTGTCAACGTCAAGACCAGTAGTTCTGGGATCGTGGGAACCTATCCCTGCTTCTCTAGTTATGTGGGAGAAAACGTCCCTAACTAACTGCACCACGACCACTAAGGAGAAAAACCCAGAGTGCAAACTCTGACAGCCAGAATTCTCCAGACTGTCATTCATTTTGATGTTCCTGCAAAAGGATAACCTCAGGAAGCTTATTGGAAAAGGCAAAATGTACATGGTAAAATGGTTTTAAAAGGCAACTAAACTATAAATGTTTTGTGACTATATCAAAACTCTGAGCATGACACTGTGAGGTTTGTGGTCTCACTGGGGACACACAAAAGCCGGGGGGCCCCTGGCCTTGGGCACTCAATATACACAGCTATGTGCCTTCTACTCCTGGAGGGTTCAGGAGTCCTCAGCCCACACCTCAATCAGTCCCAGTGTCCCAGGACAAAGCTGCATGCTACGTCATCTTTGTCCAAGGAGCTTAAATTCCCTTGAGATTCCAAAGGGCTTGGGCCAGCTTCTGACCTGGGTGTCACCCCTTGGTCCTAGCGAGGGCCTACTGTGCCCAAGGGCAGGCCACAGTGACCACGGGTGGGCTATATCAGAAACGCCTATTCCTTCCTTCCTTATTCCTTTTTAATGTAATAAATTCTACCTCTGGAGGCAGTAAGGCCTGCAGGCTCTCAACGGGGTTCTCACTGGCCACACAGCACTGCCAACACTAGAAGTCTTGATTGGCCCAGAAAATATAAGTTGAAAGCTAAGCATGAGGCCCAGATTTCTGCACAGAGTAATTCTGGTTAATTTTGTGCCTATTTTGTTTGCCTACTAAATATTTGTGTCTCGAAATACAAGAAATAAATTTCTCCCTAATGTTTCAAATTGTGCCAAATTTACCTTAACATCTTATATGTACACACATACATACAGACATAGATAAACGGGAAATTTAGTAACTGCTGTTAGATAAAGGACTCAACAATTTAGTGCATTTATATCTTTAATGGAAATGGCATATTTTATCCCTGCTTTCTTTTAAGTTGGACAATAGATTCACAATGAGAATGCAATAATTTCTGCAAATAAACTTAAATATGATTCACACTGAGAAGAGACTCTCAAGTAGGGAGCTTTCTTTTATATCCCCTCCCCTTTTTCTGTAGTTATTTACGTTTTTCCTCTCTGTGGAGATATTATTTATATTGGCAACATGTTTTTATTGCTTTGGTTTACTTTGCAAACTCATACAAGTAAATTTTGCTAGTGCATTAGAATACTATAGAGCACCATGGTGTGTAATATAAGAAATTTTCTTCCAAAAAGACAAATGTGTAAGTGTGAGTGTGTGAGAGTGTGTGTTTGTGGTGTGTTTTAAGGGGAGGGGAAAGAAAGATATGTTTCTCTTTGGATATATAATGATGTGTTTAGAAATCTTAGTTTTTAGTAAAAGCTCATAAAACTGAATAATTTCAGAAGTTTTAAACTATCATCACATCTGCTTCCAAGATGTTTATAATAGTCAAAACATAGAAAGTAGAAATCATTATGTGTCTGGCAGTCACTCAACACTTGGGTAAGACTTTATAGATAAACATGTCACTCTAGGCTTTATTCACTGTTTGAACTTCAACGTTGCTCCAGTGTTGGAGTCACACCAGCAGGGCAGCTGACGTTCTCAAAGACCCAAAGTGCAATCACAAACCTGCTGCCTTGATGACATTATCAATGACTTCCATTGGGATCTGCTCGTTACTGATGAACCGGACTGACCGTCTCTTACTGAGAAGTTCATAAAATTCCTGGGATCTCTTAGTCATTTCTTTCTCAGGATAGCGGGCGTGGGAGAATGGAATGTGTTCAACATTCTCCTCTGATTCTTGCCACTCATCAGCATCTGCAAAGAAGAACACGAAAGGTAGCAAACTAAGTGAGCTCTCTTGGTTAAAAGATGACCACTGGAGAGGAGATAAAGTTCTCAAAATGTCTGTAGAGTTATGAGCCAAAATAAATAAATAATAATAAAAAACCCAACCCCCCCAAAAAAAACAAAAGACCAACACAAAAATTGTATAAAAACAATAAAAATTAAAAAGAATAGATTTATAGAATCCTGATCACTGATCTTGACTATCCTTCAAACTCCAAATATGTTAAACTTATTACAAATCAAGAAAAAGAAAGTGTTTTACCTACAAAAAGATGAGGAATTCAAATTTCTGTTAATGGTAGACCAAGTTATTGAAACAATTTCTCATGAGTGGAAAACCACTCAGATCACTAAATTAGATACTTTTAAAAGTTATTTTGAAATCGTAGTAAGAAATTTCCATGCCAACCTGAAAGGAAAATACAAATCTACACAGGTAAATAAGCACACAAGCTACATTTTCCCTGATTGTATTTGCTAGTCCCTACATATTTGAATTTCCATTTTTATATCTTCAGGGATCAAGGATGACAGAAATCAAAGCCCAGGCTTTGGGAAGTCTAATAAGCTGGAACCCCAGGAGTACATCCTTAGGGAAAGAGTGAATGATAAATAAATCACCCCTCATGGGCTTATATCATTTTGATGGGTCTTGCCTCAAACTTGAACTTGGAAAAATGTTGTCCTGCCTGAAAGTACCCCAGTTACCTATCAGAAGCAAATACCAATATAGAAATCATTTTAAGTACAATTACCAGCAACCCACTAAATGTAATCAGGCACATTAAGAACCGTCTTGAATAAAAAATAGCAGAATCCATTTTTAAAAATAAAGTCAGATGACCAAAGACTTCAAATATTGGAATTATAAGACTCAGAAGATAAAACAACTATGATTACAATGTTTAGAGAAAAAAAGACAAACTTATATAAATCTGTAGGGTACAGGATAAATTAATAAATTTTAAATTTTAAATAAAAGTTAACATAGAAAATATGAAAAAATAGAAAAAATAGAACTTCTAGAACTGAAAAAATAATAGAATTAAGAATTTAATGGATAGATTTACTAGCAGGTAAGAGTGAGAATGTCTAATATACATTTAATCATTTGATTCAAAGAGAATGTGGCAGAGGCAGTATTTGATAAAATAGTGGCTGAGATTTTCCCAGAACTGATGAAAAATACCAAATCTGCAGATTCCAGAATCCCAGTATACTCTTTTTTTTGGACAAGAACTTCTATTTATTTTGTACTGACATTAAACATAACTGCTGTAAGAGGGGAAAAATATTGTAAGGAGGAGTCATCAAATTTTAGTTCCATAATTGATCTAATAACAATTCAAGTAAATCAGGAGTCACATTAGATTCAAAACTACAGGTTATCTCAGGCTTCTTACTTACAAGTAAACTATATAAACAGTACATTTTTACTTTGAGGCCCAGTAAACCATAAGCATTATTAAAACAAAAAACCCACACATTTTACAATCAAATAATAAAATCTTAAAAGCAACCAAAGGAAAAAAGATTACTTCCAGAAGAACTGGAGTAACTGAATTTTTAGTAGCAACAAGAATCATTGCATTGAGTATAAATGCTCCTGATAAACATCAAAGATTTTCTTAAGTCCAAATATGTTGTTTATAAGAGACACATCTAAAACATAAGAATATAGAAAGATTGACACCATCCATCATGGTGGAAAAGTTATTCCACGAATCATGTAACTATATTAATACCAGATGAAAGAAAAATTGAGGCAAAAAGCAAATACCAGATGAAAGAAAAATTGAGGCAAAAAGCAAAAAGGCATAAAGTGACCCTTATAAAAGGTCACTTTATAATAATACAATTTAATTTGCTGGGAAAACATAATTTTAAATATGTATACATTTGTATTACAGGACCTCAAGATAGACTTTCAAGAATAAATATTAAAATCCATAATCACAAAGAAAGATCTTAACACATCTTTCTCAGTAATGATAGAATAAGCAGAAGAAAAAAATCAGTAAGGATACAGAAGATTTGAATAAGGTAGTTGACAAAGATGACCAAAAGGCCATATATACAACACTTTATCCAACAACTGCAGAAAATGCTTTTTATTTAAATTAGATTCAAAATATTCATAAAAATTAACCATACATTGGACCAGAAAATAACTCTCAACACATTTTAAAGTTTTAATATACAGTGATCTCTGACTGCAATGTAATTAAGCTATAAATCAGTAATAAAAAGATGACTAAAAAAAAGATACCTTAATGGAAATTAGGAAACATTTCAAATTCAAATATGAAATTATTACATATTGAAAAATCTATGCAATAACACTACAGTATTCTGTTTAAAGGAAGATTTAAATACTTAATGCATACATTAGATGGGAAGAACCATAAAAATTAACAAGCTAAAAATCCATTTTAAGAAATCAGGAAAAGAATAAATAAATAAAACTGAAGATAGTAGAAAGAAGTAAATATTAAATATGACATATTAAGGAAAATGACAAGAAACCTCTAAGAGAGAGAAATATCAAAACCAAAGTTGGTTCTCTGTAAAGACTGATTAAACTGATAAGCTCCTGGCAAGATTGATCAAGAAAATGAAAGCGCAAATGACAAATATCAGAAGTGGAAAAGGTGGCATCACTACAGATGTTACTGTCATTTGACTATAGTATGAGAATATTATTATGCCAATATATTAGAAAATTCATATAAAAAGACAAATGTCTATTGATAGAAAATGTAACCTGCCCAAACTGACTTCAAAATATAAAAACTGAAAGGTCCTCTAACCATTAAATAAGTTGAATCAGTAGGCAGAGATCTTCCTAAAAGAGAAGGAAACTCCAGGCCCAGATAGTTTCATGAAGGAGTTCTACCAAACATTCACAGCGAAAATATTGCTAAACTTTCCGAAACTCTTCACAACAACAAGAAAAGAGGGAACACTCCCTTACTCATTTATGAAACTATCACAACCTTGATACCAAAACGTAACTAGGACTTTAAAAGAAAGAAAAAACTACAGCTTCAGTTTCCTCATAAACACAGATTACAAAAATCCTAAATAAAATATTAGTAACAGAATTCAGCAATATATAAAAAACAATAGATCTTGGCCAAGTTTGAATTATCCCAGAAATACAATGTTAATTTAACATTAGGAAAACAATCAACTTTTTTTGCCGCATTAACAAGCTAAGGGACATAAACCATAAAATCATTCCAATGCAGAAAAAGCATTTGATAAAATTTGGCATTTATCTCTTAGTCAATTTGGAGTTGGAAAAAAAACTTTCCTAATCTGATAAAGTCTAACTATGGTAAAAAAGAAAAAAAAATACCCACATCCAGCTATATATTAATAGTTAATGACAAAAGTTTGAAATCTTTCCATCAGAGACTGAGAACAGAAGGATATTGAATGTTCTCACCACAATTCTCCATATAAAAGATTATTTTAAAAATCTTTTAGAAAAGAATATAGAAGAATATCTTTATGACCTTAGAGAGGAGAAGGATTTCTTAACAAACAAAAATATTAGCCATAAGAAAAAGACTGTTAAATTTAGCTATATAAAATTTACCATTATACTTGCCTGCTTTTACCACTTCCGGTTTTCCCTATTATTCTCCTATTCAGAGAGTTCTGGAAGCTCATTATCTGTAGCTCAAGATCTTAGAGAAGATGAAGATGCAAGAGAAGATTCAATAGTTGAAGCTAAAAATGGTAAAACTGAGGAGGAAGAAAATGAACCCACAGCTATGGAAGCAGATAAAAAGGAAGCTATGTCTAGTAGTGCATTACAAGCCTCACCAAGGGCAGACCCAGTTATCTTGTTTTAGAAGGATATTTTCCAGTAAATAACATTGTGAAGTTCCTGGTAGGCTTTACAAATAAGGGATCAGACAACCTTATCATCAAATCCTCAGATACATCATTCCAATATTCTCAGAATTGTTGCTTATATTTAATATGTCCAAAATTTCATAGCTCTTTCTCTGAATACTGAGTGTTTCTCCATTTCTTTCAGGACTATGAAGAAAAGCAAAGAAATAGTTTCCGTCAAATTCAAAATAGTAGTTACTTCTATAGAGTAGGAAAAAGATTATGACTGAGAAGGGACATAAAGGGGTTTAGGAGTGACAGAAATTTATATTTCTTGGCCTAGGTGACAATTATATGAGTTTTTGCTTAAAAATGTTCTATTTTTATATACTTTTTCAGTAAGTATATTGCATTTCACAATTAAGGATTTTTTCAATGATTAGAAGTTTACAGGGATTAATTACCAAAGGAATTGAGGATAGATCAACTGGCTAGAATCATCAGACAAGACTTTTGAAAAAGGAGAAAAGGTGCTTACAATCAATGCAGTGAAAGTTCAAGTTCAGTGAAAGTAGGTAAAGTCCAGATAAAGTGGGAACTTAGATCCTCAGAGATGAGTTTTTTGCCATGTTACCATTTTTCAAAGCACGATAGCAAAACCAGTGTTTTAAAATTCCTGTTTAAATATCAATGCTTTCAAGAAACATTTGGAGTTCCAAACAATGGATGAGAACTTGAAAATGTAAACAAAACTGGCCGTAGATACTTCTACCTTCTGAGCAAAGCAGCATAATTTGTGTCCGTGGAAAATAAATCTCCCTGTTGTCGCTTTTCCTCACAAGGCTGATGAGGGAGGAGAGTGTGAAATGTTAAAGCTCTAATCATTCCCTGTGCCCCTGGATCCCACGGCCCAGTGTTTTTCAGAACATAGGCACGAGTCTTTGGACGGGACAGGCTAAGCTCCCCTGCAGAACACAGTAAGGCCGTTAGGGTTTGGGGAGAAGAGCCCACAGGCAGGACCGTAAAACAGTGACTCAGAGGACCTTTAGCAGGAAGAAGGGGCTGCCCCAAGTGCTAATATGCTACCCGAGTGGCTGGGAAGTGGCAGAATCCCTGAAAGAAAAAAACCAGACTCGTCTGGCTGATTTCTGCATGTAAACTGGTGTGAGGCAGAAGAAGAAAACACCTGGAAGAAATCAGAAGTCTAAGGGCCTGAACCCCAGAGCCAGACGGGGCCTCAAGAGCACAAGTTCCCTGAGAATTCTCAGAAATCCTTGAGAGGGCATTTCCTTATGAAGGCTCCCGTGTCACACAGAACTCATGTTTAATAAACTTGCACATTTCCTGCGGTCGATCTGCCTTTTGATACAGAGGCCTCAGCCGTGACCCCAGACTGGGTGGAGAAGAAGCTATTTAGCCTCCCTGCCAAGCAGCGGGTGAAACTGGCAGAATTTGCTCTCTGAGCCTCCTGGTCTCGGTGTCCAGCATCCGGTGCTGATGGTGACCGTCCCCCCCAGCAGCTCCCACCAGGCTGGATCTCAGGACAGGACTCCGTCTTCACTCAAGCTCTTTCCCTTTCCTAATCTCCTCTCTCATCTGAACTGACTTGTTCTTTGTCGTAAGACCTTGAGGTCTTCCAGGGATCTTAGCAAACCAAGCTTCTAAATTATCCATGGACAGATATTATGGGTAGGTGGGCCAAAGACAAAGCTGAATGTGTTGCTTCCAACAGGCAAGGAGAACTGTGCTGGCCTCCTGGAGTGCTCTGAGCAGAGTGGAATGCTGGCCTTACATGGGACTTGTGGCAGCCGTGTGCTGGTAAACCAGCCCTTTGGGGGCACAGGGAGCCCTGATTTATAGCACTTGCCAGTAGCTGTGATGTGAACATTCCCATCACGGCCCGACTGCCAGCTACCAACATTGAACATGTGGCCCACGAAACTCCTGCATATTTAACAATCGGCTCTTTCTAGTTTCCATTTAAGTGTGATAATTTGAGGTTTTCTCTTCAAGATAAACATCAGCAACTTCTTCTTAGACCTGGCTGTACATAAACAGGGAACTGAAAGTAGTTAACAGGACACCAAACTTGGCTGGGACCAGAAGGAAGATTTCATCTTGCGTCTAATAAGCCCCACGCTCTCCCACGCCACTCTCCCCGCCACCCACCCACAATGTCCCTACCCACACGGTCTGCTGCTTTCTTGATCTAGGGGCACGGAGTAGGAATTCTTTGTGACTCAAAGCTGGACTGAAAATGGCTGGCATCTCGTGTCTACGTGCAGGCGCCAACACCATCTCCGAGTTTCTTCAGCGCTGGGCTCCTCTCTCTCCTCCAGTTCTCCCCCTGGATTCTCCCCCAATCCTTTGCACCTAGAGTGAGATCCCCACTCAAACTGTGTCCACCCATCCTGTGGCTGAGAGTAGGGACTCGGGCAGCAGAGGAGCCCGGGTGTAAGCTGGTTCTCACCGACCTGCTGTGCAGGCGTAGTGCGCGGTGCTTAACTTCCATAAACAACTCCAGCAAGAGATCTGTGCACGCTTCACTCAGGCCAGGTTTGCCCCAGCCGCTGAGGAGGACGCTAAGACTGTCCCATTCATGCCTCTACGGAGTAAGAGAAGGATAAGGATGGAAGGGAACAAAGAACGACGAAGCAAAGGGTTTTGCAGAAATGAATAATCAGGCATGAGCCAGAGCTTTGCTCCGTGTTCCCAACTCTCAGGTCCAGCCCCAGGCTCTCTTGCACCCTCAAACCTCTCGGGTCTTCGGATCCATGGGCTTCCCTTGTTGTGTACTCTCTGATCTCTCTGGGAATGTCTGCCCCTGCTGGTCACCTCCTGTCCCCTCTGTTCTGGGTCATTCTCTGAGGGGAGAGACAGAAAACCAGCAAACGGCTACCTGGTCCCTGCAGCCAGACTGCCTGGTCCTGTCCCTGCCACTGCCTTCTCTGGAAGGTGGCTTACCTTACTTGGGCCTCAGTTTTCTTACCTGTAATGTGGAAGTTATAATAGTGCCTACTTCATGGTATTGTCATGAAGATTAAGTGATTTACTACACATAAAATGTGACACTGGATACAGTAAGTGCCATGTGAGGGCTTGTTATCGTTACTTCCTGGAGCCTTTCCCACACCTTCCCCTCTGTCCTCGTACCTTCCTCTGCCACCCACTGCAGTTCCTCTTGCCCGCCAGGTCCCCGGTTACTGTGCTCAGCCTTCCCTCTAGCAGCAACCACTTCCCCACTTAGGGACTTCCTCGGTTCTCCAAGTCCCAAGCACTGTCCCTCTGCTGGTGACTTGTGGCCTTCAGTGTCAGTGGCCTGGACCCCTCCCTCCCCTTCCTGCTTAGATGTGTCACTGTCATCTCAAATGGAACATCCTCCATGGGAATCGTCTTCCTCTGAGGCTGAACCTTCCTCCCTGCGCCCATTTCTGAGACTCTTCCCTCCCTACTTCCCCTACTGTACAGTTCAGGACCAAACCCTGCTGTTCTTCCTTGACCTTCACTCTGATCCCCCCTGTCCCCGGCATCCCCACCGCCACCGTCGTCCGGGCCACCCCTACCAGAGCAAATCACACACAGCTTCATCACAGACGCCCCTTTGTGTAAGGGATGCGCTTCCCAGCTGGGAAGAACTGGCCGCCAGGCGGGGGTGGCCTTCAGCCTGGGAGCGGAGGAGGCTGGAGCCCCGTGCGGGACACTCAGCAGCACTGGCTGCCAGCACTGAGGGCCAGCTGGGCACCCTGCCCCAGTCCTGACATCACACAATCACTCACACATACGCACACTCACATTCACACACTCACATTTGCACACACTCACACACATTCCTGCACACACACACTCATCACACACACTCACACATACTCCTCACACACTCTAAGACGCACGTTCACACATTCCCACACATTGATATGCGCCCTCACAAGCACACGTTCACACACTCACACGTTCACACACTCACACATACCCACTCACATTTCCAGGGGCCTCTGTTGGGGGTGGGCATCACTGCCCAGCTGAGAATCACAGAGGCGCTTCCAGTCGAATCCAGCCCACAAACCCATCCCAGACCAAACTGCTCAAACACGAATTGCCCAAGACTCCCGCACAGACCCCTTCCTACCGGTACCCCATCGCCCCTTCTTTCCGAGGCCAGCCCTACCCTGCCTGCCCTGGACACTGTTCTCGGCCCCCCTGAGGCCTCCCTGAACCCCACTCTCCCTGCCCCTCCCCCTGACAGCTCCCCTCCCCCCACTATCCCATTAATCCTCCCTGGCCTGGTTTGTCCCTTTCCTAACTGCCGTCTCCACCCCAAGCCTGCTGTGAACCCCTTAGAACCAGGTCCACTGGGTTCGCCTGTGTGTTTCTCTCTTTCCTGCATCTCATATTATCAACTGAATTGGACACTACACTTGTTGAGGAGAGAAGCCACCCTTGTCTCTCTCCCCCAGGGCCTGGCACAGTGAAAAATGGCAAGCCCCTAGGTAGATGCCACTTTGCAGATTTCAGAGTTCTTGACCAAAGCCGCCCACTCACCCCCGCCCACGGCCGGCCTGAGAGGAGACCCTCCGGGAAGATTCCAACAGCCAGAACAGGATCGGAGCCAGAGAGAACTTGGGCCCCTCAATGGCTTTTCACTGTGCACCAAAAATAAAGGGAACTGGTGCCAGCAGGTAACAGACTGATCACCTGAGGAGAGGATCTGTCTCTGTCACCCGCTGGTTAGTTGACACAATAGAGGTCGATGATGAAACTGCCCCACCCCCATCAACACCACAACCGCCACACTTTGCCACAGAACCTTTACCTTCCGCTGCCTGGTGGAGCTCAGTGCTGTCCCTTAAGTCTTCATCCACCCAGGGTCGAGACTCGGTCCTGGCTCCAGGCTCCCCCGTCTTCCTCTGGATGTTTCTGTCAGCATTTTTAAAGATCCACACAACCAAAATGCAGAGAACCGCTACCAAGACTGGAGTCAGGAAAAACATGGTTAGGAGTCTGATCCCAAAGCGCTCCCCACACCTGGCGTTTAAACAAACAGAGACAGGGATGGGAAATGCCGGGACTCAGAAGAAAGTGAGAGAGAGGTGTGCCGGGCAGAGAACAAAGTGCAGGACACTCCAGCTCTAGGAGGACTTGCACAGGAGCAAAGATCACAGTCACGTGCGTGGGGGATGGGTTGGGGGTTTGGCCATGCACAGCGCACTCGCTTTTTAAAATTGTGTGCTTGATCAATACATTCTCAGGCAACAATCGCTAGATCTGAGTAAACACCAATGTGCTAGGTCTTGCCGGCAGGGCCAAAAGGCACTGAATCTTCCTGCTGTATCACTTTTCTCTGGCAGCAATGTGTCTTCAACTTGCATGAAACTGCTGAAAGAAAATTTCCAAGAAAGGTATAACCTGCACTTTAAATGGCATGTTTGTGAAACTCTGCCCTGAGGTTTTACTTGTTTTTTCAATGATGCCTGAGCCAACATATGCAGAAAAAAAAAAAAATCATGTTTTACAGTAAAGAAAAACTTTGATCCAGAAAAAGTGATACAGAAGCATTAAAATGACTGTTTGATTAATTGTATAATAACTTCAGTAGGCCTTTCTTTTTTCAAATGTCTTAGTTTGGGATGCTATAATAAAAATACCATAGACTGGGTGGCTTAAATGACAAAAATTTTTTTCTCAAAGTTCTGAAAGCTGGGAAGTTCAAGATCCAGGTGCTGACCAATTTGACTTCTAGTGAGAGCTCTCCTCCTAGTTTGCAGACTGGCAGCTGCTTGCTGTCACCTCACATGGTAGATGCTGAAGAAAGAGTTCAACAGTCTCTTCTCCCTGGTAAGGCCTCTCATCTCATTTATGAGGGCTCCACATCATCACCTAATCACCTCCTAAAGGCCCCACCTCCAAACCTCAAAATACCATCACACTGGGGGTTGGGGCTGCAACAGGAGAATTTGAGGGGGACATAAGCATTCAGTTCACAGCAGCAAGGGACCAAGTACGTATAATACGATGCCATTTGAGTAAAACAAAGTGGAGAATACTATACACTTATATGTGCTTATATATTCATAATATCTTCTGGAAGGATATACTATAAATCTTAAACAGTAGTTATATCAGGACTTCTCTTTACTAGTTTTGCAATTGCTTGTTTATTTCAAAATAAAGAATTAAAAACAAAACTGGTTACTGGTTTGGGGTGGGTGTGGCAACTAGATAGGTGAGGCAAGGGTGCAAGAAAGATTCTTTATTGTTATGAACATATTACCTATTCAAAAAATTAAATACATGTCATTTTGAAGGTTTTATTATATTATATATCGTAATATTCTTTTTTGCCATAGACAACTATTTTTTAAACGTATGTCGTGGTGGTTCTAACCGCAGAGAACTGTGTGGAAGACGCAGACCCAGTTTGCTAGGGAAGAACTGGCCTGCCGGGTGGTGGCGCCTGCTGTGTCCCAGCCCTGGTGCAGGGAAGTGCTCTCCAGGCTCCTGCTGAAAGGGCATCAGAGGTGGCACCTCTTGTCCATGGGATCCAACCCCACACCTGACCCCACGCAGCTGGCCCATGTGACAGACAGCAGCCCATGCTGGGACCCCGTTTATCTCTTCATTCCACTTAAAAAAATAAAACAGAATGAATAAGCTACTCGGTAGCAAGAGAGGAGCAGAACAAGCGAGCAGAGAGAGCAAGACCTGCAAGGCCGCAACACCGCACAGCCCGTGGGGAGACGTGGGGTGGGGGGCCAGGGGCTGCAACAGCCTCAGTTCCTGGTAAGTCCCAGGTTGGCCCAGTCTCAGGCCACATCACCTTATCCTCACAGGATCAGAGGGAGCCTCTGTCCCTGAAACCACAAGAGCCCGACTAATATCAGTGCCAGCAGCAGGATTGGACCCAGAGGAAATGGAGCGTTAGGAGCTGGTTATAGCACAGTGGTGGCTGGGGGGCGCGGGAAGCACCCCCATGTCAGGTGGACACCAACAGCGGTGGTGGGTAGTGGATACTTGGCTAATTAGGGTGCTGCTTGGATCTCTTGGGTTTCAGACCAGGTGTCCAGCAAAATGAGTCTTTAGGGGATTCTGAAGCCATCAGAGGATAAGAAACATGAGACAACCATCCTGGATGGATGCGTTCCATCACGTTTGGCAACTTGCAGTAAGAAAAGAAATGACTCTTGCTCTGGATTGCTTGGCTGGTTCAAGGCAAAGAGGAAAAGGAAGGTGATCATTTGTTCCCTCCCTCATTCATTCAGCATATATTTTTGAGGAGTGGTGTGAAAGGCCTTGCATTAGGGGCTGGAAACAAAACGGGGCAGAACCACGTGCCTTCATGGAGCCACAAGCCAAAGGGGAGACAAACAGAACAGAATCTCACGCATTAACGCCACATTTCAACTTCTGTAAGAACTGCTGGAGGCTGAAAAGAGGGTGACCTGGCCTTGCTGGCGAGGTGGGGGCTGTCCCAGAGGAAGGAGTGGCTGAGCTGAGGTCGGAGCTGTGAGTGGGAGTCAGAGAGGAGGAGAGAGCCTTCTAGGCAGAGGGCACAGTGTGGGCAAAGGCCTGTGCATGGGAGGGAGCTCAGCATTTCTGGAGGGCAGGGGCAGGGCTTTCAGTGAGCCAGAGCTGAAGGAAAGTGCTAGATGACGCAGGTCTCTGTAGGTCATGCTAATACTTTTTTTTTTCCTTTACGTAAATGGAATATGGAGAGGGCATGGTGACAGGTCAAGAACTGGGGACACCGATCGAGTGCTTACTCTGTGGTTCCGGGTTCTCTCCTTAGCACCTTACACACATTTGCTCACATGTGCCTCACAACAACCCACAGCATAGATCCCCCTGTCATCATTGTTTCTCAAAGGAAGAAAATGAAGCACAAATAGGTTAAGGCATATGCCCCGGTGAGTGTTACAGCAATGGGCCAGCAACAGCCCTGTGTGTTCCTCTGGAATGCCCCCCTTGCACAGCAGGTGGAGCCCTTGGCCAGAGCCTGCCGGTGCCAAACCAGCCCGGCTGGGGAGCGGGCAGTGGAGGTGTAGGTCTCTACCCCGATCAAGAGGTACCAGCTTTTCATGGCTCACGCTTGGCATAGGAAGAATACAGAAAAGGGGGTTAAAAATATGTACCGCACAGAGGAAAAGGACTCGGCAGCTACTACCAGGAAAGGGTGGCAGGAGCAGGTGGTGGACAGGGGCCGGGGCAGGTAATGGTGACGCCGGGAAGGGAGATGCACAAGCTCCAGGGCTTTGTGCCCAAGCCGCCTTTTATCCCCGAGAACCTGCAGGTCTCAGTGAGTGCCGCCTCCCCAGGGCCCTTGTCCTTGGATTTGAGACAGGTCCCCTTCCCTTCCATGTGGATTCCTGCAATGCTCACCCTAGCTGGGCCCAGCGGGTCTTCACACTTCTATATACCCAACACTGTCTCCGTGGCCAGGGGGCCACTGCCAGTCAGGTCAAGACAGCAAATTCTTCACGGTCACTACGAAGCCTGATAGTAAAAGCTTCTCGCTTCATTATTCATTTCAGATCCACTCTCTGTTTTAATCATGTAATTTCCACTGATGACAAGAAAATTTAATTTTACTATTGAGACAATTCTACCCCTTCCAATTCAATGCAGAGACAGTTAGAACTTTCTCTCTCTTGCCCTTCCCTGGGTGCCCACAGAGTGCCCTGGTGTTGGGGAAGAGGCCTGGAGTGTCGTGGGTGTGGGCCCGTCCTGGTGGATCCCACTGAAGGGTACAGTCTTACGCAACAGGCACCATACAGGCGACACTTACACTGAAACATCCTCAGCCTCCCACCCCTCTGTATCCTCCGACCCCAGACCACAGGGCCCTTCTGGCTGGCCCATCCTCAACCGAGCTGCGTGCCCTCCATTATAAAATCTCTGCGGGTATTTATTCTCCAGTGGTTTTGGAAGGGGGTGGGTATTGCCTCTCTTAGTCTTCTCTATCACCTTCTGCCTTATATGTGCCTCTGTTGTTTGGATTTTTTTTTCAACTAGCATGTACTTCTTTTGTATTTTTTATTGTGGTAAAATGCATATAAAACTTGTCATTTTAACCATTTTAAGTAGACAGTTTAGTGGTATCAATTATAATCACAATATTGTGCAACCATCACCACTATTTCCAAACCTTTTCCACTACCACTATGCCAGACAAACTCTGTACCCATTACACAAATAGCTCCCCATTCCCCACTCCCCAGGTAACCTCCAAACTACCTTCTGTCTCTATGAGTCTTATGACTCTAAGTGCCTCATATAACGTGGGATCGTACAGTATTTGTCCTTTTGTGACTTATTTCACTTGGCATGATACACTCAAGGTTAACCCATGTGGTAGCCTGTGTCATAACTCTGTTTCTTTATGACTCAGCATGGGCTACATACCAAATAAATACTCTGTGGTGTTTTTAAAAAGTGTTACCATAGAGTGTGATGAGAGCTATGAGAATGTGAAAGTTGTCAGGATCAAAATGGAGTCACTTGTGCTAAAAGAAAGAAAATCCCTGCAGATAGAGCTGGGAAGGGCCTGCAGGGAGAGTTCTCGTGCACACATACCTGATAACAAGGACTCGCACAAAGGACTCTGCAAAAACCACAACCTTCCACAAAGGCTGTCACACCCTTATACAAAAGTACTTCTGGGAGGACATCAGTCCAGCAACTGCACCTCCAACCTCAGACTGGCATCACCCTTGTTACCTGCCGATCCTTGTAGCCAAGGATTGTTATCTCAAAACAATTATGTCATCGTCCTCATTTTGCCTTTAAAAACCTTTGTCTTCCTTTAACTCCCTGAATAGCACATAGTTTGCTATGGCATGTGTATTCCCACTGCAATGCCCTATCCCCCCAAACATCATTTTCTTTTAGAGAGCATCTCTCTATGTGTCACTTAGGTTATTAATAGATGTGCACACACAGGGTCCATGATTCAGTCTGAGATGGCACAAGGCCCATGGAGGAGATGAAGCTTTTACTGGGTGTTGATGAATTCATTGGCTCCTGGGACAATGATGCTCAATGTGACAGTCCGAAAGGAGCTT